AAGACAGGATTTTTTTTTTTTATAGAAATTTTCTAAATTTTGGGACAATATTGTCTGATAAAGAGTACATTTATATACATGTTTAAGCCAGAATAATTTGACATTTAAATATGATTTACCTAAGATTTTAAAAAGTAACTCCACTTACAGACATGACGATGTGCTCCATAAAACCGTCGGGTTTGGGGCAGGTCTGCTTCACTAGCTCAATCAGACTGACTCCAGTCATTCCACAGCAGTGCAGCTGCAGAGCAGAGAACAACAGATAAGACAAAGGTTAAAAAAAATCACCCAGAAAAACAGAAATCCTGCACAATAGATTCCGTAAAAGGATCACTCTCACTCTATATTAACATAATGACACATTTCAAAGAAGTTCGTATTGAAAACCAGCAAACAGTGGACACTCACTGAGTTGTGGATGAATGTGAGAGTGACACCAATCGCTGGGTCTTGGCTGTTCACATAGATGGTATATAAACTGACGTAGAACTCTCCCAGTCTCCGTCCGACCTTGGGCAGGAAATTCCAAACATGTAAATAAAATCTAAAATATTTGATTTCTGACTGGATGTAGACTGAAAACATTTTGCTTTTACCTCGTGGCTGTTTGAATAAGCGAGCGCTCCGACAACAAACTCAGCGATAGCCAGAAAGAAGATCAGGACAGAAAACTGAGGAGACAAGAAAAAAAATTAAATAATGAATGTCGCTGAATGTAACAGAATAGTAACTTAGTATAAAACTTGCAATAAAACCTACTTCCTGTACTCTTTTCTGTTTTGTTACAACTTCATATAAGCTTATTGAGGCATATAACCAGATTTAAAAGACAAAAGGCATTTATTATCATTTATGAGAAATCACAGAATGAAGCTTTTTTTCTTTTATAAAAAAAAAAAATAAGTCGTACAGTTTAAATGTGACCCTTTCATAACCCTGTGACCCTTTTTTTAGTAGCTTGTTTACAAGGGCAGTGTTTAAAACTTCATATCCTGTTATTCAAACCATTTGCATGTGAATAAAAAATATATATATATATATATATATATATGTATTGTGTTTTTAACTTTCATTAGTTTGGTCATTCAAAATTAGTGCAAAGATGACCTTTATAGGGAAAAGGAATGACAAATCCAAGCTGCAGCTGCAGTTTCTGAACAGAAAAAAAAAAAAAATCAGTGACTCAATATCAAAGGGTGCGCCGGATGCATTTTCTTACCACTTGCAGAGCACATTTCTTCTCATTGCAGGCCCCGTAGTCCCCAAACGCCACAACAAAGAGCATGACTGAGCCAAGAACGATCAGTACAGTCACACCTGATTGAGCAGGAAACAGAAGCAGCTTATTTTTAACAGGAATCTGAAACTAATCTCTGCTAAGCGATCGCTGCAATGCACTGACCTATGACAAACGTGCTGGAGCTCAGTTGGTCTATTTCAAAGATTCCTCTGGTGCTGCCGCTGAATCTAAGCCACAAGCCAAGGCCCAAAAACGCAAACCCCACCACCTGCAATAAAGAGGAAACAAAGTTAAAAGCATAAAATTAAAACGTGGTAAAGGTGTACACAGCCGCAGTTATCAAGATGTTCGCTTTACAATAGTCAAAGCTAAGCTGTGTAGAATTATAAACAATATATCAAATCACAATCATCAAACTTTTTCCATCTGTGCCCAAGTGTGAAGGAGATGCAATATTTGATGTGAAGCATCAACCACAATTGATGCTTGCTAATAAATATGTTGAACAGCAGGAAAAATAGCAAATTTAAATACGCCGTTTTCATGTGGAAATAACAAAATTTGTTTTAAATATGTGGATGAACCGTCTTTTTATGTTTTGTGTTTTTTCAAGCCTTGTCGCTTTCAGGGTTTTCCAGTTCCCCCACACAGTCTAGAAACTGACGGGTAAGATAGCTGCCAATAAAAATGCAAGTAAGAGATGTGAAGAATTGAAAGTTTCGTATTTTCTTCCTGTTGTAAACTCGTATGCATGACATCAGATGTTTCATATGTGAGAAAAAAGGGTTTCGAAATTAAAAATACAAGTAACAACGTTACAACCTTGCAGCAGTATATGTGCAAATAACACATTTCTAAGTATAGATTAACAACCACTGATGAAGCTGTTACACTCCTTACTGATTGGTGGCGCTATTGAACCAGATTTTTTTGCCTGCTGTCTTTAAATGAGAAAAAGAAGCAGAAAAAGCAGAACAATCAATAAAACGTTTTGCCATTAATGTGTTGAAAACAGTTTCAAAATGTTTGACCAATAGTTTTATTTTCATCTTGTTTTTCTTTTTTGCATATATATTTGGTTGGCAAACAAACTTCAGTGGAATTACTGCCACCTACTGGTAAGAAGAGAAATACCTTCATCAAGTTGTAGATTTGTACTTGTAAATTTGTCATTCGTGCTTGCATTGTTGCAATCATTATTATTGTTTAAACCTAACTCAAATAATAGGATATTAATAAGTTTATCTTAAGTTACCATTAAAAGATCAAACTCTCTATTATTTTTTAATAATCTAATTTCCCTTTGAGCATGGCTTGCCTCATTGCAGTAACTACTCTATAAGAGAACTAAACAATATAATAGATTGAATTCACTCGTGTAATTTTTTTTTGTCCAAACTGAGTGTACTAGTATGTACGGAAGTGAATAAGGGCCACTGAAAAAATAGAAAAAGCAAACAGATTTTTAAATGTTATTTCAGTTTCATATGGGAAAAAAATCAAAATTCCGACTTTAATCTCAGAATTCTGACATTTTTTCTCAGAATTCCGACTTTTATATCAAAATGATGACTTTTTTCTCAGAATTATGACTTTTTTCTCAAAATTGAATTCTTACCTTAATCTCAGTTTCTGACTTTTTTCTCAGAATTCTGAATTTAATTTCAGAATTCAAACTTTAATCTCAGAATTATGACTTTTTTCTCAGAATTATGACTTTAATCTCTGAATTCCGACTTTAACCTAAGAATTCCGACTTGATTCTCAGAATTTAGACTTTTTTTCTCAGAATTCCGACTTTAATCTCAAAATTATGACTTTTTTCTCAGAATTATGACTTTTTTCTCAGAATTCCGACTTTTTTCTCAGAATTCGGACTTTAATCTCAGAATTCTTACTTTAATCTCAGTTTCTGACTTTTTTCTCAGAATTATGACTTTAATCTCTGAATTCCGACTTTAATCTCAGAATTCTGACTTATTTTCTCTGAATTCCGACTTTAATCTCAAAATTATGACTTTTTTCTCAGAATTATGACTTTAATCTCTGAATTCCGACTTTAATCTCAGAATTCTGACTTATTTTCTCTGAATTCCGACTTTAATCTCAAAATTATGACTTTTTTCTCAGAATTATGACTTTAATCTCTGAATTCCGACTTTAAT